GAATATTTTTAGGGTCAGGTTTCATAATGAGAACTCAACAAGTAAAAATTTAGGGTCATGTTCAGGTTGATCCTGAAAGCAAAAACATGACTGGAATAGAGCCAAAAAAAATGTTGTACTCTTTACTCTTTTACGATTGCTTGTCATATATAAATGGAGATTTTTTTAATTTTTCTATTGTTACTTATAATTTTTTATAAGAAAATTGAGCTTATAGGTTAAATGGGCCGGGTTCGGGTTTACCGTGTATTGGTCTAGTCAGGTTCGGGTTGAGTTTTAAGACCAATTTATTATTCAAGTCAGGCTTGGGTTTACCTGATTTGGGTCGGGTCATGTTCGGATTGGACCTAAGACTAACCCACTAACTTGAATTGTCATCCCTATATACGAGCTATGAACCACAAAGGCCAAACTAGTGAATTGTGATGACATCCGTAGGACGTAGTGACTGAAGTGAGGAGCTGCATGAACTGTGGACCACGTAGGTTGTACTTGGTCTCATAGATTGTAGTGGTGAGTTGTGATGACATCCGTAGGCTACATAGGCCAGAGTTGAGAGCTACACAAGCTGTGAACCACATAAGACATAGTTGGTCACGTAAGCCTAGTAATGGGTTGTGATGTCGTCTGTAGGCCGTAAGGGAAAGGGTATGGAGCTGCACGAGCTGTGAACCACATAGGTTGTAGTTGGTCATATGGATCGTAGAGGTGAGCTATGATGATGTCCGTAGGCCGCAGGGACTAGAGTCAAGAGCTAAAGGATCTTTTAACCACACAGACTGTAATTGGTCACATAGGTCACAGTGGTGAGTTATGATGACATTCGTAAGCTATCGGGGCCAGAGTCATAAGTTATACGAGCTATGGACAATGTAAACCACAGTCAGTCACATGGGTCATAATGGTGGAGTACAAGGAGAGAGTTTTAGAAGTCCGAAAAATGTCACCTTCATCGAGGTGTATAACTACACGGTCATTGGGAGGCATCATTGCACCTTATATAGGGTGTGTTATTACAACATTATCGGGATGTATTGTTGCATCGTATTCGGAAAAAATTATTACACTGTCATCGGGAGACATCGTTGAACCATGTGGGGTATGTTGTTACATGATGTTTAGAAAAAAACACTTAAATTCCTATATGTTCTACAAAATTTTATGGATAAAATTGCACTTTAAAGAAAGGTATTTTCATGTTTTTCTTGCAGGTACAACAAGTGTTAGATGTGGAGCAATGTGAAGAAGACTTGGAGCAATGTGGAGGAGAACTGAAGAAAATAAGTTGATAGGAGACTAGTCTCAGCCTGGCAACTCGAGAGGTTAGGGCCTAGGCACCGCGATATTGGCGCTTAGGCACCAGCAAATGCCTGTGAGAAGTTTGGGCAGTTTGATCACATGTCGTGGGGAGTTATTTAGACAGTCAAGGAGGGTTTAGAGGCTATGTTTTACACTCTTTTGATGTGTCTATGTAAGAGGGATGGAAGGCTTGCTGAAAGATTAAGGGAGATAAAGTTTATGTTAGGGATTTTGAGTGGATTTGAGTTCTAAAGTGATGGGAGTCTTCAGGATAGCAACAATGAGTCAATAAATCTTTCTCTGGTGGAACATTTTTCAGAGGTTTGTCAAGGAGAGAAAGATAAGTGTTGTCTATTTGATTTATTGTATTTCTTTGTACATAATCATTTAGTGGAATTCTCTTATTTTCAATGAAGCATTGTTGTATGTTTTTCATGTTTTCTGAGTAGTACTCTTTACCTTAACTTGTGATGTTTGAATAGGATGTATAGGAGTGCAAAATGTTTTCAAAATTATTTCTAAGTAATTAATGTGATGGTTAACCTTCAAAACTTCATTTCATTTTTTTTCTGGCCAAGTGAATCGTTCAAAAGCGTTGTGATCCATAATGACTCGGGAGAGCTATGCTAAAATCAACTAGGTTAATCACATTAAATTATATGATATGGTGCAAGTACTTTCTAGGGAGATATAAATGTAAGGGAAATAGTCTTTGATGGGTTCAAAATAAGAATTAAGGAATTAAAGTCATGTTAACCAATTTTCTTTATGTACTCAAGAGAGGAAAAAAAAAAACAATTGCTCCTATTTATCACTAGTCACGATTAAAATTAACACTTTACATTTCCTATACTCCACTAAAATCATTAAAAGAGGCTAACTTTATAACTTGATATTCATAAATCTAAACAGGTTAAGTAGGATTTCTGTAGGATTTAACATTTAAAATAGTTTGCAATTCAATGGGAGTTTGGGGAGTAGTTTGTAGAACTTTAAACTAATCTCAATTTCATGGGAGTTTGTAGAACTTTAAACTAATCTCAATTTCAGGCTAAGATTTAAAACTAGTAGGCTAGAACTTTCCTATGTTTAATTCCCTCTGCCCTGTAGGATCGACATTCCAGACTAAAAAATATGATATTACTGATATGACACATACACTTGAGAGAACCCCCAAGTATGATTGCACCTGGAAGCAGTATCATTCACCATCATCGGGATGTGTCGTACCGTTTTCATGGTACATTATTATACAGTTTTCAAAAGATGTTATTACACTATATGTGGAGTGTGTTGTTCAACGAAATACCTCGTTACGCTATAATATTCATTGGGATTTCGCATCGCATATCATGATTCCATAATGGTTTTCTTTGCAATGAGTCAGGTGGTGGTCAACAATAGCAGGCAGGTGATTGTCAACAGTGATCAATAGCTACAAAATTGGGAAGTATTTCTCTAACCTACGGTGCAGAAGCGATGCTAGACTTCAACTCCACCAAGCTTTAGTCTTCTTCTAGCTCTCAAGATCGAATCCCCCCATCTTAAGAGAGTGGGGCACTCTTTATAGTCTAAGAGAGACATCTCTGCAAATAAAGAATGAATTTAGACCATTTCAACAAAGAACTTGATTGGAAAGCATTCAATGAACATCTGAGTGTCTTAATGATGTCATAATTGAGTGACCTTGGGCATGTTGAATTCGTCTTGTTAAGATACTCAATTCAACTATAAGTTTATTAGATTCAGAATCTATTTAACATTCTAATTATGCACTGAAAACTTTTAAGTGGTTTAACGGCTTGATATGAACTTGATTGAATCAGATTAGAAAAATTTTGGTATTTTTGGTCCGTCTCTTTGAGTCTGCTAGTTTGGCTGCAAGTTTGCTGAAATCAGAGTTTCAGATGATTTTTAATCAAAAATTGAATATTCTTTTATCAATTATTTATCTCGAGATTCATGTCGGATGATAAATTTGTCGAAAGCGTATCACTACTTTTCTTCATAATCAAGGTTTGAAAAGTGATCAAACTGATAAACAAAATATATTCTTGGAAAGAAAAACAAAGAAAAATATTTACATACATAGAAATCAAGGCGAGTGCTCCCCATCCATCTGTATTTCTCAGACTCAATGTCAATATCAGCTATTAAGCCTGCATATTCAATTACATACATTTCAAAATCAAGTTAAAGCTCAACGGCACCAAGCATAAACCTGAATCTATTCTTAGAAAGATTATTCCCTTGAATGCATAACCATGAAAATGTAGATTTCTTAAAATTAAAAAAAATAGTATTGCGTATTCTCCTCCATGTTTCTTTACATACCCCATGAAAGCATTAAGGTGCTAAAAAACTTTGTTTTCCCTTGCAATACTGTTGTAACATCTAGTGCTCTTTTATGTCCTGCAAGATGGAAAAATGAATAACATGAAGAAAGATCAGAGCAATCGCTATTTAAAGACTAAAACTAAGCAAAATAAATAAATAAATAAATAAAATATGACCTCTTATAACAACAAAAGTAGCATTCTCTATTGAATAATGCTCTCCAGCTGCACCCAAAATTGATTTTGCCAGCCCATTTCCAGTCCCTACAGTTATCATAATAATCAAAGATAAGAATGAATCATTTTTCATGCGACCATGGAAGAACAAATTGTCAAAAGCAGTAAACCAGATTAGATGATGAAAGAGAGCAACAATGGAAGAACAAATTTTTATTAGCAACTAAAATATGGGCACATTCAAATCAAGAGAAAAGAAAATTTGAACTGCTGATGGTATAAGGAGCACAACAGGGTAAAAAATGCTCAGCTCAAATAAAGAACATTAAGATTTGTAATCTTTACATAATTCAGTAGATTTTCTCAAAAATATGAGGCAGCATGGAAAGCTGCTTCTTATGAACGTACCTGCAGGAATGATTCCAAGAGGTAGCTTGATTGCAGTGACCCAGTCTTCTCTTTGAAGTAAACCATTTACCACCTAACCACGAAAAAAAGATTAAATAATTAGATAGCTTGGAGAATAAAATGGAAAACTGTACAGGGCTCATAGCAAAAACTTTTCCAGTAAAATATGAGCATAAATAAGCTGAAAATGCAATACATAAATACATAAAATACATACATACATACATCATACATACATATACATACATACATACATACATACATATATGTGCTTATAAATTATATATTTGTGTGTATATATATATCTATATGTGTGTGTGTGTAAATATAATTATGTGTGTGTGCTAGAGATATTTTGATCAAAAGGGGTCCCAAAAGACAAAGAAAAATTGAAATTGTTCAAATTACAAGATGGATTACTAACCTCCAAGAGAACACCATCTCCACTGACACAAACAATTCCATCGTACTTTGACAAATCCAACTTATAAGCTAGTTCTTGGGCATGAAGCTTATGCTCAGTCTCTGAGAGATGTCGGAAGGCAAAGACTAATCACGTGTGTCATTCACTTGAGCACATAGGAAAATCAAGAAAAAAATGAACAGAAATACGGCATAAACAAAAGCTCGCTAACCGTGTAAAGTATAGATGATATTAGCAGCTAAGAGTAGGGGCCTAATCTTGGTGCGGAAGATACTTCTTGCGTATTTCTTTCCACTATAGGGGTTCATAATAATAAATAACCTCTTTGGCCGACCTGTTAATGCATAAGAAAAAAAACATGTTCACTTTAGTTAGCTTGATATAGAATTTCAATAAGGATTAAATTCTCCATTCAAGGAGTGGATGAGAAAGTACAAAGCTTCCTAAACAAAGGGTGCACTAAGCCCACACGGAAACATGATGTACCGGAATTGATGGATAATGATTGAACACATCGAATCCCACCCTCTAAACAAAGATATCCAAGGCTTTTCCAAGGGATGGTGTTTTCAGGCAATGAGTACAACAACAAATAATTTCCTAGAATATTTAGAGCATGTGGATAACATTCTATAAGAATACCTCTTCGATAAAAATGTCATTTTATTCCTCTATTAATCTATTCATCTCCTAAACAACTATTATTTAAATTGCACGAACTCATATTGACACTACAAAATTCAATCAGATCAAGTATAATTCTTTACCAAATTTTTTGGAAAAGAAGTTCAAAATCAAAATAAAAACCTTCCAAAGTTATTTTATAAGCTATCCGAACTCTCTTTCTAACAAATTTATATTTCACATAATGCCGTTCAATGAAACAAACCCAATGCAAATGAAAGTGTGTTCGAAAAATAAACCACATGATTTATGTTAAACCACATTAATTAGACAGTTATAAAAGGAGCTGCAAAACCCTATCCTCCAAGTTGTGCAACATAGGCAAGTCATATCATGATGAGGTGCTCATGATTGGGGTTAGTTTGTTAAAAAGATTTAAAGATCAAAACTCATAATTGGAATTGTGACAAGATTGAGAAGATATCCGGATGAAGAATATTTCACCTAAAAATGGTAAAACTCCACCTTCATTTTTTTGGTGACCCATAATTTAATAGAAAAACTCCTTAATTACAACAACTTTCACAAGCCTTTCATTTGTAAACCATCAAGCGATTATTCTCATCAGGACAATCAAAGCTAAAACAAGCTTGGGTAATTCCTAGTCTTCTTCGGGCAATAACAAAATATAACTTACACTTTAAGGGTCTGTTTGGGACAGCTTTTTGCATGCTTTGCAATTGAGACTGTTACCATAGCTCTATTTGGGATCTTTTTTCTTGTTTTTCTATAGAAATTTTGTGGTGGAAAACTGTTTCAACCTGACCTATTCAAGCGCCGCGACTGTAAGAAAGCTAATGTCTAATATTTTTTTTTAAAATATATACTTATAATTACCACCACAGCTATCTATAAAGTTATTTTCTTCATCATAGTTTTACAACCACCTATTCAAAAAGCTGCAACCACCCCAAACAAATTCTAAGTTTCATTTCGTTTAAATCTAATAATTAAATCCTTGATCCGGCAAATGTATTACATGAAGTTATGATATTTGAAGAGGTATATCATATATTCACTGATCAGATAATTTTATCATCATTGACTATCGCCCGATAATCGTTTGGTTGCTCGAGCAATCCTATGCCTAGGCGTGTGGCACACCAAATCATTCAAACACTTTTTCAAACAAGGCGAAAGCAATGTGCATGAAGAGTATCAACATTAGTGGTGTATTAGTGTGTATTTTGTGCATTTTTCTTATGGAAACCCCTAGTACTTTAAACCACAGTTAGGTAGCGCCTTTCTAAGGATTTAAGTTGGATTTATAGATTTAGCTAATATCAAACCAAATTAAATATACGCATATTAAATATGACAATGGTTAAATTTGAATTTCTTCTTGTTTACCAGGTAAATCCAGATTTACGGAATCTAATAGTTTGACTGATTTAAAAAATATGGATTTACATGATTTATTAAATCTATTGAAGTTAGATCGTTTTTGCAGCCAAAGAGTCCTAAAACTAAGAAAATATGAAGCAAATACTCTATATATAATAGTTCTATATTTATGGTAATCAAATATTTAAATGTCTTATTTTAGCACTTAAACAATGTTTTGGTTATAATTTCTATTTTTAATTATTATCAAAAAATTCATATGATTTAATTCAAATTAAATATTAATATCTATTTAATATAGGTCTGGTATTTAATAAGCTAATTAAATGTAAATTTTATTCCTAAGAAAATGTCAAATTGTTTGGTAAATGTAATTGACCAAATTAACCTCATAGACTACAAAATATGTAGAGTTTTAAACAAGTTGAACTTGAGCTAGCTCAAAGCTTGTTTGTACTCGGCTCATTTGAAAAAAAAATTTCGAAATAAGCTCGTGTTTGAAATAACTCGTGAATAACATGGTTCTATTGGTTCAAGTTCAAGTTCATTTGTTAGAATTAGCTCATTTCGACTCGAATTGGAGCTCAACTACTAGAACACCGACACAGACACAACTACAATGCTCTAAAAAGGGATTTCCCGATTTCCCTACATTTAAATACTTCTAAGGCTATGACCAAACTTGTCCCACATATGTGGGACTAAGCTTCTCCCATGACTTTGTTATTTTATTTTGTTTTGGGCATGTATAGACATACCAGCTAATTCATAAGTATCTACATATCTAACACCTAAACAAATATAAGAGCTGCCATGGGAGCGGGACCATGAGATGCTTTGCTTTTTCTTGGGGGGGGGGGGGGGGTTTTCATACATACAAGTCAATAACTATGTATTTACATATCTCACACCTATACATTACTTTTTACATTAGCACCACCCAATTCCAAATCTCTTACATGCAATTCTTCTTAAAATACAATATAAAACATCAATATAAAAATAATGTAAATAAATAGCATTATTTAATTATTTTATTATTTTGAGTCAAAAAGAGCCAAACACAAACGAACAACTCATTTATAAATCTAACTCAAGAAAAGTATGTGTCTGGCTGGCTTCACGCGCCACTTAAGGAGCCGAACATAAGTCATTCGGGAGAGTAAAAAAATGCTAAAAATCATATAAGTGACACAAGAAACAAGTAGAAAGGGACAAAAAGTAAGAAACTAGTTACCCGACTTGAATAGAACATGGGATCCTAATTTTTGAATAAACCTAGCTAAACAAATTTTTTAAGTCGCTTAAGATTATCAATCTTCTTAAAATTCATTTGTTACATAATATAGGCAAATTCCTGTCTTAGTGGTTCCTAAGCAGAAAGGAATATAAGAGTTCGGAAGACAACTCATTTATAAATCTAACTCAAGAAAAGTACGTGTCTGGCTCGCTTCACGCGCCACTTAAGGAGCCGAACATAAGTCATTCGGGAGAGCAAAAAATGCTAAAAATCATAAAAGTGACACAAGAAACAAGTAGAAAGGGACAAAAAGTAAAAAACTAGTTACCCGATTTGAATAGAACATAGGATCCTAATTTTAGAATAAACCTAGCTAAACAAATTTTTTAAGTCACTTAAGATTATCAATCTTCTTAAAATTCATTCGTTACATAATATAGGCAAATTCCTGTCTTAATGGTTCCTAAGCAGAAAGGAATATAAGAGTTCGGA